ATTCCCTAAGTTGCAAAAAGAGAAACATTGTATCACTATTAGGACATGTTGACCCCACTGGCAGTACGTTTGAAGGTAAAGTTACATAGTTCGTTCATTACCTATTAAATTTTTTTACGGAGAGATTTCCGTGCACGTGGTTCAGAAGTAGAAATGAAAACGCTAGGAAACCAAACACTTCACTGTCCGCTGAAGGTTACGTTACATACAACCGATTCCGGTAAAATGCAATTGTCGACAGTCTCACCTTTACATTGCGGGTCTCCTCGCCGGAATATTAACGTTATGTTTGAACCCGCCGAAATTCAGGTAAATTCCTGTCGGTGTGGTGATGACCTGGACGTTTTTGGCACCGTCGTTTCCCTCACATTTCGACGTGCAGACCGCCGTGTCGATAGCGACTTCCCTTCGCGCTGAAGAAGCAAGTGAAATCGACTTATTAAACTCAGCCGTCCCCGCATGCCGACTTCATAACTTCCAACCACCTGTGCGAAGAATTCTAGCCTCCGATTGGTCGATTGAGCAGAATCCTTGCATGCTCATTGGTCAGAAAAATGCAGTTTGGAGCCTCTCCGTTGGTCAGAAAAATGCACGTTTCCCATTGGTCATCTCTGCTGATTAGATTAATTTTGACGATTTGGTTGGTCACTGCCTGCTTGGGGGTTTTCGACAACGCAGGAGACGGTGCAAAAAGAGCGCCGGCTAGCGACCTTACTTGATGCTACAGTATTTAACATGCCCCTAAAAAAACAGAATATGATACTGGTCTCTATTAAAAGCCATTAGAAACTAAATCGACTGATTGATAAATTGATCAATTAAACTAGGGGATATCTTGCTATTTGGTTCAGGCCTTTCGCCAGGTTTCTTCAAATTTAGAATTTCTGATCTTTTATTTATTTATTTATTTATTTATTTATTTTATTTTCCGTCATTTTTATACAGGGTAACCCAATTCAGTGATGGCACTGCTTTTCAACGGGGCCCTGTATTACACAGAACAATACAACAATCACATACAAATAATAACATTAGCATCCGACCTTTTGGGCTTTTTTAAGTACTAGTATACATACTACACACAATCTACAGTTCCCAATCATTGGTTTTTGATGAATGTGCTTAATTAGGCATGACAGAAAGTAAACATACGTTTTGTGCTAGCAAATTCTATTTGATTTTTTTTCCAATCTTAAAGGAGTACTAACCTCCAGAAGGAAGTGCTATTTTCCGATACATCATGCTGCAATGAATACATAACTAGCCGACTTTTTACATAATTTCGCTTGTACGGCTTGCGCGGCGCATGTTTGTAAAGTGATATTAATATCATTTTCCCCCATGCTGAACCACAACTGATACATCCGGGAACTCTGGCTTACGCAATACTCATACACTTCAAGTCAACATAAACATTTTTTGGCGAAAATGGTAGGAGACAAGCACACTAACAAGCTGATTATTGAGAAATTACTTGCTTTACTTTGCTTGACCTGTGGCTTGGATATTATAATGTCAGGATGTCGAATACAGTGAGCGCCAGTTTCACGCTGCGTGTTTTGATTTTCTCAACTTATTTGCATGTAAGTATTACTTGAACAGATAATTAGATTACGCCACTTATGGAAAAGATTACTAGATTACGCCGTTTTTTTCATCGTCAATATTTGTGGC